TTTAAGTGCGTAAAATTGTCTAAAGTGAATCACGAAAGAAGGCTGTTTTCCGACACAGTATACCAGAACAGCGCATTTGTCATGACTTGATGGCGCTTAATTATCAGACAGCCACGAATAGAACCGGAACAGGCATAAAAAAGTAAATATTTAAAAAGACAACTCAAAAATATGAACTCAGTAAGAATCAAATTGACCGATGATGTCGAGTGGCGTAAGTACGACTGAACAGCTGTGCCGTTAAGCTCCTACGTATTACTAATGTAACCATTAATGCGTGCAACGTAAACACAAACGCTGACGGCAGTTACCACAAAACGCGATGCTGTGAACTGCCGGAAGAATCCTGAACAGTAGAAGTATTGTGTGAAGAACTAGAGGATGTTTAAGGTTACCAGGAGTTACGAGGAGGCGAGTTGGTACAGCGCATACGGAAGTTCGTTGAATCGCCGGTTGTGTACTGTATTGTACTTTAAGACCGGAGTTGCTCAGTCAGTAGAGCGTTGGACTCAGAACGGAAAGATCCGGATAATAGGGTTCGAACTTCGTTTGAGTTTCTTCCTTCCGAGGTTAAAAATGAATGCCATTCTGTGGGATGTAATCGGGAGAAAACAGACTGTGCTTGACATTGCGGCTTTCGATTCTGCTTTTAAAATAAATAGTTCACACCCGGCTGACGATCGTGAAATGAAAATCTGCGACCCACGATTAACTCCAGAAATGGTCACATTATAAAAGCGTAAGGAAGACCGTAACGTCAGTCATTCAGTTTCGATGATCACTCATCCTTTCGGGTCGCGGAGGCAGACGCGTCATACAGTGCTTCCAACGTTCCCGATCCTCTACCAACGCTTCAGCTTCAAACTGTGCTATGATACTTGCCTCACGTCATATTTGGCCGATCGGGTGAACAAGTGGTATGCCAGAGTATGTCAGATAACACAAGACTCTTCCAACAGGTGAAAAAATGATGTAGAATTTTCATCATACAAGTTTCTGTACAGTACACACAGCACACTTGTACAGTGAGCCTGTTTTTTGACAGGTATGCCACTTCGCTTCAGCATGTGAATGATAGACACTGACCTGGTTGACTGGAATATTGGCTGTTTAATTTATCTGGTGCCTGTCGATTGCATATAGCTATTTTATATTATGTGGCAGGGACAAAAATTTGATCGTCGGTCCAGGGGGATGCTGATATGATGTGCGATAGTAGTGCACGCTGTAATATAAGATTTCCCTGGCCTTGCCGATGCGACCTCGCGAAGGACGTTACTTGCTTTTCATTTCCTGACACAATCAGGCAGAGTTGGTCCGGTTGTTCCGTCCATCGTGCCCTGTGCGTGGTTGGAAAGGTAGATGACATAATGGAAAAAGTTAATGAGGCTCTATTTGGGCATTATTACAG